CACCTCCACCTCCACCTCCACTTCCACAGCTCCATTCCGACCCGCTGCTTCAGATGTGCAGTCGTGTGCAGTCGTGTGCAGTGTCCCGATATACCGTACATGATATACCGTACATCTCTACCGCGAAGACCGTTGTGCGCTAACTGCTTCCTGCTTCCCGCCACGCCGTGCAGTGTGAGTTCATGACGTTCAACTTCGCCATGCAGGCCATCGACCAGGTCGTCAACAGCGCCGCCAAGACCCTCTACATGTCCGGTGGCATCCAGCCCTGCAATATCACCTTCCGTGGCCCCAACGGTTTCGCCGCCGGTGTCGCCGCCCAGCACTCCCAGGACTACAGCGCCTGGTACGGCTCCATTCCCGGCCTCAAGGTCGTCGCCCCCTGGTCTGCCGAGGACGCCAAGGGTCTGCTCAAGGCCGCCATCCGCGACCCTAACCCCGTCGTCGTCCTCGAGAACGAGCTCATGTACGGTGTCTCCTTCCCCATGTCCGAGGCCGCCCAGAAGGACGACTTCGTCATCCCCTTCGGCAAGGCCAAGGTTGAGCGCCAAGGCAAGGACCTGACCCTGGTATCGCTGTCCCGCTTCGTCGGCCACTGCATGGTTGCCGCCGAGGCCCTCAAGAAGAAGTACGGGGTCGACGTCGAGGTTATCAATCTGCGGTCCATCAAGCCCCTCGACGTCGAGACCATCATCCAGTCCGTCAAGAAGACCGGCCACCTCATCTCGGTCGAGTCCGGTTTCCCCTTTGCCGGCATGGGTGCCGAGATTCTCGCCACGACGATGGAGTACGGCTTCGACTACCTCCACGCCCCCGCCCAGCGCATCACCGGTGCCGAGGTCCCCACCCCCTACGCCCAGGGTCTCGAGGCCCTGAGTTTCCCCACCGAGCAGATCATCGAGGACTACGCCGCCAAGCTGCTGCGCCTATAAGACACGAGCCGGAGACGAATTAGCATGAAGACGACGTAGACGAAATAAGGGGGGAAAGTGTGCGATACAATAGGAACAAAGTCGGAAGAGGCTTCGTTGGTTATAGAATGTGTATGCGGCGTTTTCATCATCCCACGCATGTAACTATATTAATTCACGTAGGTTGGGCTTGGGGAAACGGGGTTCTACTATCTCTGATGTGTCTCGGAATTGCATATGGATGCAGTTTCCTGCGATTGTTTGCGAGAGTTTCCTCTTCACCAACACCACCGCTGCTAAATAAATACCACTACATGACATGTTCAAGTACTTGTTCCTGGCCCTCCTTACCCCCCCGGGGCCCGCTTCCGTGCGTTCACTATGGTTTGATAATTCTATCTGGGCAGTGAGTGTGCGTAGCTTGCCGAACCCCTTTCACCCATGCCGCTCATTGGGACAAGTATCATATCCTCTACCCTATGATTTTTTTTACTAAGCTTACCTTATCAATGATCATCGTATATTGGAGCGCTACGAATCCAACTCGTCTGTCATGCCCATTTTCGTCCGTACGGGGTCATCCGTATAATTTAATTATGCCGGGGTGCAGGTTGGTTTTATGTACGCTCTGCTGTGGCTTCGCATTGTTACTGAAATCTCCCCAGGGTGGAGTTTCGGACGAGTTGCGTTATAGGCATGGTTATAGCAATTTGTTCATGTTATCTTTTCTCTTCGTCCTAGTTCGGATGACGTAAGTGCACGACTGGGCAATTTTAATCTATCGCTTGGCTTAATCATGGTAGTATATGTGCCGTGAGTATACTGGGTAGCTATTCCTTGCACAGGTGGACGCCCTGGCCCATTATATTCGAACAGGTTACTCTGGAGGGCAGTGTTAGTCCAGCTAAAAGCCATGTACCATCGTCTGTAGTATTAGGGGTATCCCTTTGTGTGTTTCTGAAACTATTCCCACCACCGTAGTAAACACATAATTCAGACGACCCAGCACGAACCAGCCGGTTATATATCATTAACCAACAAGATATTCACACTTAAGCAGGAATATATCCGTCTAAACATGGAAGACAAATCCATACATTTGAACGATGATGATACCTGTGAGTGTAATATGGGCAGTAAGCCATTATCTACCGTCTCTTTCTCTAATATAGCAATTTCATCTCCTATTGTTTGTTTTGGGATGGGACCAGAACCACAACAGTACCGTAACTTTCTCACGCGTGAGAACTACAATGTCATTGGTTCACCCGTCACGATAAATGATCGAGTCTTATTAAAAGCTCACAAGGTATTAGGCTGGACCACAAAAGACCTATCTCTAATCTCTAAGCAGTTGCTAACCCAGCCTCTGAGAGAACGACTTGGGTTTCCGCTCTCGATAGGGTCGAGTACACCAATGTGCACGTCATTGTATTTCGGACTATGTCAATATCAACTTCGATTTGGTTTCCCCTTACTGCATACTATAGGTACTACGTGCAGAGCTGTATCAATCCCACTACTCAGACACGTGTGAGACGGCGGCCATGTTGACATATCAGATCCGCATAACTCAACTCGCGAGCACCGTGGCAGAGAAATCATTGGCATACCCATCTTTTGAGGCCGATGGCCCTGTTGACCTGGGGCTACCACCCTAGTTTAAACAGCCACGGGGCGCTATTCTCGTAGCAGCCCAAGAGCTCTATGGTCTGCTCAGTCCGCAGCCTACCCGATATAACTCAGATAGTCTTACGGACGAAGACATGGTGGACGAGTACGAGATCATGTTGTGGTATAGCAGGTTTATTAGAAAGTCGGCTGATGGTAAGAATCTCGGATTTTCTCAATTTACGGTCCAGGAATTCCTCAAGGGAATCGACCCTACGCACTCAACTCTACGTCTTTACCGCGTCTCCGAAAATAGGGCTCACAATGCCGTGGCTCAGATGTACATCCGATACTGATGCTACAAGGATTGGAACAGGAACCTCGAGCTGATATAGAATATACCCAATATCCAAAGGCGAACTGAAACAAGACCTCTCTATAGACGTTGCGCGTTTGATTAGGTCAAGACAGTCAAAGAGTTGTTTGGCGTAGAGATTAATGCAAACAGCACCAAAGTTGATGCTACAATGATGCAGCTTATATCAGCTAGCTTTTGCCAGTGGGTTCTTGACTATGTCGACTCCTGGGAATCTGAAGATTATCCATATATTTATTTGGATGATATGCATTCTAATACTAGCCATGTTCGACCGACTTTTAATTTTGGCGAGAACGAACATCCAGGTGCACACTGTAGAAGCCCCAGGCCGGAACAGCAACAAGCTTTTTTCCAGCTTGTAGCTGCCATTATCCGGCCGGATTTTATGCCTTTGAATATGGCATCAGTGCTCGGCCTACCCAGCCTCTATAATCATCTACTCAGACACGGAGCCAAAGTGAACCTCAAAAGCCGTTTCGGTACTCCACTACGCTGCGCTCTAGGCAGAATTGTCGTCTTTCTTCGAGACCCCTATCTAGCTAGCCAACGAATCGCAACGATGGGAACCCACAGGCATGCACCTGTAGCATAACATCAAACTGTGCGCCTTCTCGTTGCCACCGGGGCGAGGGAGGCCCCGCGCCTAAGCTCACAAACTTCAAGAGGTACACGCGTTCGCATCATGCCGCAAGGAGTGGCTCGATTTGACGTGTTCAAAGCTTTCAGGGTGCTTGCACTGAGCCACTGACTTTATGTGAACAACAGACACCTCTCCAGCTTACTTGCATATCGAAGTAGCGAAACATTTACTACAACTTGAGCAGGACATTACGGAGGATTCTATGGGCAGAGGCATTGCTAACATTACTCTGGAAGAGGAGGATAAATCGACCTAGGTGAAACTATGTGCTATGCTGTTTCCTCGAGGTGTTTGACCTCCACCGAGCGGAAGCGGATGGTATGTGCGCTATAGTTGACGTAATGGCACCTTCTCAACATTTGGCTTTGAGATATCTTCTCGGAAAATACCCGTTGTCCCTGCAAATTCAAGATCTTCAATGGTCTCTGCCGCAGGTTAGGATTTGGCTTACTTCGATTTAATATGCTCTGGCCAGTATCATAAGAGGGTACCTCCCTATTCATCGATACCCCGGGCGAGAAGAGCCCCTGAGGGTCTCAAACTCACTTACTGTTGGCAAATGTAGCTTGCTGTACTTGGCTGTGTCCAAAGGGCTTGTTACGTCCGTCAATGATTTCCTCTCAATCGGCATCGATATTGAGGCCGAGGTTTGTGACGAAAGCACTGCATTAACCATTACGGCAGATCACGGGCAGCTTGACGTGGTCAAGTATCCATTACGACAAGGAGCGAAACTATTCGCTGAATCTAGTGATTCTTAAGGGGGCGTATTGGTGGCCGCTCATGGGGAGAAGGACGTATTAAAATGGCTACTTTTTGATCGACACACTGATCAGGCTAAAATCATGAACGCCAACACCAATAAGGATGAATATCACAGACAAATTAGGGAATGGGTAGGAGTCATTCCGATTAGATTGTGATGGAAGTGGGAAGGGAAAAAATCGAAGGGCCGATACCATTCTCGAGTATGCTATGCGATTCTAGAAGATCATCAAGGGACTGAGAGGAAATGTTCTGAGCGCTATCAGGAAGGCCGAATGGAATTAATGACCGATGTATATACGAAATGTTGCAATCGTGGCACTACTGTGCCGTTAAATTACTATACCACAACTGAAAGGAAATAAACCCATCTACCAGTCTGTCTTTGTAAGGGACCGCAAGCATTTACCACATATTTTGAAAACTCCTTGTTGGCAGTAAATCATCACTTACTCTCAGCAAAAATTCCCCCCCATGACTTATACACGTAGATAGGCAACTGTCACGGCGCCCAATATACCTTCAATCCATCGAGGGATGTTATCGATCCCAATCTACTAGTTTCATCACCCCCAATGGAAAGGTGAAAGACGCGACGAGGTTGTAACACCACACAGATACGTACCGGTTACACAACTCCTCGGGGTCTAGACACGCTTAGTCCATAATATCCCTGCGTCTTCCATACCTCATGGGGCCCGTAGCTCAGTGGGAGAGCGCTCGCTTTGCGTACCTCTTTCGCATCCATAGAAGGGCTGCAAAGTCACCACCTCTTGGTGGTCAGTGGTGTGTAAAGCTAGGAGTTTGCGAGAGGCCTAGGGTTCAAATCCCTACGGGTCCAAAACACAAATCGGCTTTTGTTTTGTTTTGTTTTGTTTTGTTTTTCCCTTTCCGGCAACTCTTCCATCCACCAGTCGGTTTTGACATGTACATAACGTACGCACGATCGCCACACGAATATTTATTCTTCGATTTTAGTCGATGACAAATTTACAATGCTCCTCAACCGGTTTCTAATTTCGTTTGTCACACACGCTACGAGTAGAGGGCTGCAGACCGGATTCATGCGCGGAATACTTGCGATGGACTTAGTTAGTGTGTGCGCCGAGCACTTCCGTAAGATATTTCTAAGAGCCTGTTAAATAATAGACCGATCGACGAAGGCCATCATGATGATGCTCTAGGGGAGTATGTTGTGGTGTGCCAAAATGTGCAACAGAATATTCACGTTCCTTCGTATCCCTTGCCTTACTTATACAGTCAGTACATTAAATAATTTCTTGACATACTAGGGGATCCACACATAGACACCCCCTTCGCTGCCGCTCAAACCTTGGTTGCTGTTAAACCTTTCGTCGTCGCGCGAACGCAAGGTACGCACGCATGCTACTATAAATAGGGAAACCATCTTCGCCCAGCAGAGCAGATTCCTAGATGTAATAGTGAATATTTTATCTGTGGATTTTACGTATCGAATGCTGATAGTAATTCGGGGAGTGCCTAAATTGCAAATCTATGCATACCAGGTAGTTGGGTTAGTTGTTTTAATAATGACGGTCTGAAACGCGGCTCCCTAGTACATCACCTTGAACCACTGACATCACCTACCAAAAGTGTCGAATATGACCAAATTGACTGTTTCTGGCTCATTTTTCGTTTCTGTGTGATGGATGCAATATAGGACAAGAGTGCAGACACCCTGTTTACCTAGTATTGGGAACTAATATTCTACTTAAAAAAGGAAGGAAGAAATCGTACAAATAGCCTGCAGTGCAGCCAGTATTTATGGTGCAGTAGGTGTGTGTGTGTGTGGGTGGCAGTATTCACTACAGGTAGCCCCACCCCATTGGCTGCACCACCGGCTATTGCCCCACATACACTTCCAGCCATACACAGCCCGGCACACAGCCACACACCCAGACCTAGCCACACACAGCCCGGCTGTGACATTCTGACTAAATCTATCAATTTTAATCTATTAACGCCTCTATTTATAAGTAACCATAGTGATAGGACCCCCTAGGGGTCAGGAGCCATATGGCTCCCCCGCAGAGCGGGGGTGGGGCCATATGGCACCACCTGCAGACTAGCTGCCAGCTGGCACATGCAGTGTGCTGCTGCAGATAATATTCACTTCGTAGATATTCTTTGCAGCTTTTTCTACTCTCAATCAAGCTTTATTTTACTACCCAAACTATTTTTCTCAATAATTAACCTTCTGCGGTAGGAAGCTTTATCTTGTGACTCTTAGCAAGATGAGAGCTTATCTTGTCCTGAAGTATGCGTAGTACTAAGTCTACAATTCCATATCAGTACTAAGTACCCCCCAAGTGAGTAGGCTTAGGAGATTGATTAGACACCAGACAGCAGGATGCCCATCAACAGCGGCATCACTCAATTACGCGGGATGAGTGGGTCTGCTCCGTCGATCGGCTCCGTATTCTTTCTTGGAAACGGATCCTTATGTGGGGCTAGAGTGCCGAAGCCAAAATAGAGATACCGGTGGCCAACAACTAGGGTGATTGGTGCAGCGCCTCAGAACCCGGAGCCTTAGATACGTAGTCAGCAGACACCTGCTGGCCATTTTGCATCAATAAGTTTCTTGGTATCATGTACCTCAACTGTACCATCTACAGTACATCAATATCTCCACGCTTAATGCTAATTGCATCGAAACCCCGTCAGAATTCGCAAAGATTCGCAATCGCGTCCCAAATGTGGGCTCCTCAAAGCAATCTATTTCTTGTTCTTCATCATTTCCTCGAGGTGGATTGCATGGGCTTGGATCTTCTTGAATTGGAATGGCCAGTTTACAAGATAGAGAAAGGGTCGCAGATCGTGTCTATTGTCGTCGGGATTGTAAGCCGACAGATGAACCGAAGGGGTCAATACGACTGCCTTATGCCTATTGATCGCATAGTTCCTAAAGAAATGCATTGTTTTCTCGGCAATTTGCTGAGGCTTTAGTTTCCCTTTCCAAGAACCCAGTAATTGGAGATAGCATGACCAGGGACCCAAGCGCTCTACGCGGCGCAAGAGACCGAACATAGACAGCTCGGCATAGGACAGGCCCATTTCAACTTCATCCTCTTGTACTCCAGCAGTAAGAGGTAAGAGTTCCGCTGTCGGTGTGGCATCAATGAAAGAATTCATGATGGGGAGATTCCAGGCATTGACTACCCATCCCTGGAAGAGTTTGGCGTCATTCTTCGATATGGACCCCAGAGGTGCGAGATCACCGGAGGACGCATCGTATTTAGTGTAGTAGCCCCGTAGATTCTCGTCAACATTTCCACTGGTTAACACAAGTAATGCAGAGCCCCTCCTTGGAGTATCGCGCGCCGTGGTGGCAAGCTGAGCCAACATGTATTGGGTAACTAGCCGAGAGCGAGCTTGGATATTCTGTAACGCCAAGTTCTCAGCTGGCGTGCCACCCTCAACTGTGTATCTCGGTTCAAAATTAAGTGCGTCCTTGATTATACTTAAGTTGGCCTGGACTGCTGTATCGATTTGGATAGACATATGATAAGCGCCTATCTTTGTGCTGAGCATTTCCGCACGAGAGCGAGTTTCTTCGGATGAGTTGACAGTTCCCATGTAGCATGTCGTTAGTAGGAGATTCACGATCTCTTCAGGGGTCTTCGGGACCAGGTCTTTCAGGCCAGTCACCCGTCTCAAGTCCGCCAACGTAGATTTCGAACCCGACTCAATGGAGCTAAGCACAACCTTCGCCATGCCGTATACGAACAGTGCAACAGTTGAGCTATCCAATCCTCCCGATAAACTGAGGAAAAATCCTGCAGATGATGTACGGACAAGATACTGCCAAAGATAGACAGAAGTGGCCATCCAAATTTCTGACATCGGGTCAAGGATGCGGAGCTTCTTCTCCCTCGAAAATTGAAGAGAATCTGACAAGTAAATGTCTTCAGCTGAACGCGATAACCGAATGTCGAATTCGACCCGTGGGTAATCCGCCTGCGCAGCTGCTTGTACGTTACGTGATATGCTGGAACGGAAGCTGCGTATTTCTTCGAGATTGATGGTGGCAGTGATGACTTCGACAGGTTCTAGAGAGAATTGATTTCCTTGTTCCAGGACTTTCCCGTTCAACAATATCATTGAAGAACCGTCAAACATCATCCGGGCTTCCCCGTCGACTCCAGTTGCATTCGCGTACACATAACATCCGCCGGTCTTCCTTGTCGAGTTTGCTATGAGGTCAAGCCTGGTTCTTAGTTTCCTCAGCTCCGCATGCGATGCTGAGCTATTTAAGATTATCTCACAGCCATTCAATGACATGTAAGTCGAAGGATTGCGCGGAGTGAACATCTCCTCGCACGTCTCACATCCAATAGCGGTGTCTCTCGTGGACAGGATGGCGTCGCCGATGGGGACAGCCCGCTGGCCGGTGACCTTCTCAATCACCTCCTCGAGGTAATATGTTTCGGTCTGCATGGGCTTGACCCAAGCCGTGAAGTGTCTCGCCTCTCGGTAGAGACCGTCATTCGCAAGGGACATCTTTGGGCGAATGAGCAGCACCTTCTTGTAGGTGCAGAGGACACGACAATTGTAGCGGACATTCCTGTGGCGGCAGCCCATGCCGAGATCAACGAGCATGTCTTTGCAAGCTTCATCGCTGATGATCTGGGCCAGCACTTCCCAGGAGTGGGCAAACGTGTCCCCTTCGAGGTGGTGATCCAAGCAACCGTAGCCGGGAATTTCAAGCTGCAAAACATGTTAAAATATGCCGGGTAAAGAGGTCATGATGCATATAGATGTTCTTCTCACCTCTGGCCCCGTGCGAACTCGAGCTCCCATGCTCTTGGCGACCTTGATGGATTCTAGTATTCTGTCCCTGTTCCCTTCGAAATCCAATGGGACGCTAGGTAAAGTCGCCGCAGCGACCGTAAGGAATGACATAGTGCAGATGGTGTGGCAGTCTATGCTTGTTTGATTATGCAAAAAGACGATATAGGTCAAGACGTTTGAAGTTGCTTGGGTGAGGAGGGAAGCAGCAAAATGTTGGCTGTTCTCCAAGTGCCCCTCCAAATACCCCTCCAAAGAGACGCTAAAAGCGCGCTATTGTTTGCTGGGCACCTACCTAGCTAGGTCGGTAGGCCCTTAAAGTACAGAAGCGTCAGAGGCCTGCGGGGTAGTTTACCTAAGCCAAAACAGTCATTAAATAAGATGATGAGGTAATCACGGACAGTCCCCAATGACTGTGACTTATGAAGCAAGATATAAGTGAATTAAATACGTACACTTCTGGAAATATCTTGTGATTATATATTGTTTCCGGATCCATATATAAAGGTTTACAAGCCGTATTTTATGTCCCCGGACAGCCTTTCCCGTCGGGTGTAGGTTTAATCAAATTAAACCCGATCGGCTAACCCAGTTCTTGACGGGGACGTATGGTTTATGATCACTAAGGGTCCATGTAATAACAACACAGCTACCCAGTAATGCGAACCATCGTCATTAAATACCCGCACCGATGCTGTTCGCGATTATAACAAAGAGCTTATCTTAAAAAAAAAACAATCCTGATCGAAGCCTCTCTAAATTTAGACATAACTGTAGACGGACTTTCATAAGACCGCCGAAAAGCCAGAAAAGACGCGGCTGCAATAGGAAAGCCTTAAAATCTAAACTAAACTCTCGACGACGGGCCCACGAGACCGCCTAGCAAAACAAGGACGACGAAAATATAAGCCAACTTAATATACGTATTACTAAACTCAAAGATCATGTGCGCGAGACGAGCGACTATATGGATGGGACGTTATGGGCCACTACAGGACAAAGAAAAGTTCTCGGAGTAGAATTCGTGAAAGT